GGATGCAGAAGCTATACCACTTACATCTAGATATATTCAGATCTTAAGTCCACATGTAGCTTCCTGTGGAAGAACGCAATTCACCTCAAACACAAGTGTTCATTAATAAGTGTTAAAAATTTACCATGGAGCTGAAAGACTTGATCTAAGGTGCCAATTATTTTCATGAAGGCATGTGGAGTAACCTATTTATGAGATTAACAAGAAGACAGTCTGCTTATGCATTTAGAGTCGGTCCAGGCAACTCTGAAATACCAAGTGCCCGGTACTCTGTGGCACAGTCAAGGTCATAACCCTTGTGCTAACTTAAAGGTTGTCATGTGGATGGCCTGAACACTAACCAGTGAAATGAAAAATGGAGGTTGCAGCTCTGCTGCAGAGTTCCATGTCTGTTTCTTTTTGGTGTGAAAGAAAACTGCCATGCACCTTCTCTTGCTCCTCCAGGTAGAATTTGTGTCATTGTTTAGGGAATAGCAATAACAATAGTTGTGTTATGGGCTGGCTAGTGGTGAAAGGAAATGCAGAAAGGTTCAGTCATTTGGTGCTCTTTAACAGCTGTGTTAGGGCAGGATTAGCGTCTGAGAAACTGGAGTGGACGGGGCTTTGCTCCCCTTTCTCGCACAGGTTGTCACGCACAGACTTGGACTTCAGCGCCATCCTCACAACCCTCCTTCTTGTGCTCCCATGTTTTAATGCCTAAAATCCCCGTTCCTGAGTTGAATCTAGTGAGCCGTGATGACAGGGTGTGTGGGAAGAAATTTGTGAAGAAGAGTGAGAATTGTCTGCTCGGCCCTTAGGGTGGGGACTGGATGGGTAGAGAAGAAAAGACTATTGACTCAGAAACTGCCTGGTTCAGCCAAGCAGAACAGAACTGTATCAGCACATGTGTAAGCTACCGTGTTTCCCAGGGGAAGCTGGGAAACAGTAGGGAATGGTATCAGTGCTTTTTTAAATCAGTGGATCTAATCACCTTCAACTCCCTTTGACTTTGAGCATTAAGCTGCTGTCTAGTGGCAGCTGGAAAATGAGGCTTGCAGTGCCTGACTGAAGAGAAACCCTTTTGGAGCTCCTGCTGCAATGTTATGACGAGCTTCTCAGCTGCAGCTTAAAGGCCCAACAGAGATTTTTGTGATTTGACTTAAGGGATTGCTTTCAGACATGAAGCAAGTAAGTGATTAAGTATAAAGAAGATGTGGTAATGAGTTTCAGATGAGGTCTTTAATGTTTATTAAAAGAAGTCTGAAAGTTTGCTGCTGCTACTATTTCTTGTTTTCTAACTTAAAAAGTCATCTTTGAATCTCATACTGTGCACTGCTTACAAATGGCAAGATCCTATTACTGTAATATTGTAAAAAAAGTCTTAAAAATAAAATAAATCCAGTAGAATATAAATCTTTTTTCCAGTGTATAGAAAAGCAATGAGCCATTTTAAGAGCAGGAAGAACATGCATTTTGAGATCCAATAGATCATCTAAATTGGTCCCAAACCAAGTTTTAAAATGGCATTGCAAAGACTTTTGCTTTGTATAAATTTAGCATTACAAAACTCAGAATATAAATAAAAATAAATTAGATTTGCTGATTGTTTTGTACTTTGCTTATATTCTGATTAATTGGGAAAAAAGTGCTTAATACATATGACCATTTCTGACTATTCCAATGGCAGAACTTAAAAATGCTCGACTAACATTTATGTCCTTTCAGTTGCTTCCATCTAGCTTTTTGTTATGAATAAACTATAAATTTCTAGGTAATGTAAACTTTAAACCCTTGTTCTTCATTTTCTGACATTTGTATGTTTGAAATTTGGATTAGTGAATCTAAGTTTCTCACTTGCCTGACTTCCTGCAGCTCTCTTGTATGTGGAGAATTATTCTAGATTGCCACATCATGTATTTTCAGTCCAAACCTTGTCTTTTCAATGGCGTACCTTGCAGCCAAAACAAGCTTGTGTGGGTCCACTTAATGTGAACACCTCATTGTTTCAGAGATGCAGAAGAAAACAGCATCAGAAAAATGGCTTCTATTCAAGGAAACCTGTCTTTGTAATACCAAATGATTGCACTCTATCTCAGTTCTCTGCTTCGCATGAAATTGTAATGTCATTCTAATGGCTTGCAAATCTTGCAAAGGTCCTCCATGCCCATGCATACCTCTGTGTGCTTTCTGTGCTGCATAGCATCTCTCTCTCTCTGGGTGAGGTGGAAGGGCAAATGTAGAAGTAGGTCTATAGCAGTATTTTTAGCACCTCTCTTCCTGGACTAAGTTTCAATGTGTTAACCAGCCTTCTGGAAAACTTAAAATATTTCACTAAGAATAAACTCCTTGATTTCCATACCCCAGGCTTGAATTTGGGAGTATGAGACTGCACAAGGAATGCAGAATTGAATCCATAATGTTTAACACGAACAGTAGGTTGGTTTTGTTGATTTCATATGATGTTTAAAAGTTCTGATAAAATCTCATGGGTATACTGTATTTTCTTGTATTATTTTATTTACAAATTAGCTGTCAATAATATGAGGCTCACATTAAAAAAAAAAAAGTGTCTCTTTTGGTCTTCAAAAACTTGATATATGATGAAATCTGTTGTTTAGCCCAAAATATCCCCATCCAGTACTCTATGCTGTGTTGCCTGTGAGCTGCTCAGTGATTCATTTGTAACTGCATTCCAGAACGTGGGAACAGGTATGACTTAGTGGAAGTGCTCACTGAAGGGACCAATGCATGTACGGTGCGACACTTCAGTACTGGTGGTTAAACCCAAACATGTTCTGTTGCTTTAATGAATTGAGATGTCTACTATTTTATTACAAAAATACATTTATTACAGAGGTATTAAGAGTAGAATTTTCATGATGGCACTAGTGAATTAAGTTTCACCCCTCAGTCCCCCCAGCATATTTTAGATAAGACAAAGAAATTAGTAAATATTTTAAACTAGAGAGAGAACTTACAATTCAGTTTAATTTCTGGGTTTATTTCTCTTTACAATTCTTCATTTGTCTATTCAACTTAGCTCACCATTCCTTACACTTTTTTTAAGCATTCTTGTAGGAATAGTGTTATTTGCTCTTTCTGTTTCAATGAAATGTATAATTTTTCATTTTGCTAATTATCAAAGTCAGTAAAGATTACATGCGTCATATTTCAAACACCCACATTATATCCCCAGTATCTTTATGTTCTTGAATTATTACAGTATTGATTCCTAATTGTCTTGTTCTTCTCTACTATGCAAAAAGCTGCACCATTAAAACCTGCAGACCTTCATTTTCCAGCTCTACTTTTCACTTGCAATTCCACCTTATGGTTTCCACCTTCACTTCACCATCACATCATTGTAAGACCACTTAAGTATTTGCTTTATTCTATTCCATTATTATATTTTAATTTAAGGAAGCTGTGACAAGATCTCTTTACTTTGAATACCTTTTTGAAAGTTTATGAGAGCCAATAGTCCGAATAGTGTATTGGAAGTTCTGAAAGATTGTTATCAGTGAGCATCTTGACAGTGACTCCTTCTGCTCAGCACCTTTTCCATTGGAATCTTACCTTACCTTCTGGTCATTACTCTAGGCAGTGCTTATGTAGAAAGGTATTACTAAAAATGCTACTCGGAATTTGAAGCTGTGACATAGGATGGTTAAATCTACTTGAAAAAAGTTGCTTTCCTGTCTAGCTTTTTGTTTCTTCCCCTATTTTGACATTTTTTTGGTGTTTCCACCTAGATCCATGTGTATATGCCTTTTGCTGTGGCCATGCCTGCCTTTTCACACTGTGCATACTTTCCTGTTTCTTGGTTATACTCCCCATAGAGCCACTTCCCTCCTCCATTTCCTTGAACATGTACCCTGTCATTTAGATGTTCCTTTTTCTTGCCACTCTGTTCCTTCTTCACCAGATGTTTTTCTCTTTTAATTATAATATTTATGCTGTTGTCCTTGACGGTGACTGCTCCTTCTCCCTACTCTTGTAATGGAGGAGAGTCAGCTATTTTTCCTCCTTATTTTCAAATGCTTTTATGCGTACCGAAGCTTTTAATTGCAATTAGCAGTAGAGCTGCTTATAGAAAAAACTGTATACAAATAGTAACCAGTATGAAGTGACCTACAGATTTTTCCCAGACCACCAGCAAGTATTTGCCTGACCATAATTTGAGAACTGTTTGAGTTGCATTGAGAGAACAATAAAATTGTGCGCTTGAGCATTTATACAGCAAGAAATGAGAAAATCAAGGCTACATACACCTTCTGGGCTGTTAGAATACTTTTGATTTTTTTTTTTTTTTCTTTTTGGGGTGGGATTTTTTTTAGGGTTTCTAAAGTGAAAAAGCAGTTACGTAATGCATAGCAGTTTGGTGAGGTTCTTTCTTAAGACATTTCTCCTTAGGAAAATTCTTGGAATATCCCTTATTTTGGTTGACAGGGATTTGTGCTTACTACAGAAAAGCACAGTAAGGCCCATTTATTAAGAGATTTATGTGATATACACTGGAGAAAAGTGAAGAACCTTATAATTTCCCTATTTGTCATGTCCTTGATAAATAATTCTGTTTCTAAATTATTGATCTGTGCACAAACCTGTGTAGTCACTGTAATACCTGATAGCCCACTTCATGGCCTTATTGGGCAGATTAAATACAGGATTCAGAACACTTATTTTCAGAACACTTATTTTCAATTAGTTATATATTTTATAAGTCAAGATGATTATTTTTGTTTTGCGTCCATTTATTCATATGTCAAGTTAGGACTGTTTTAATGGTATTTCATGTTTTGACTATTCTACTTTTTCTTTGGTGCTATAAGTGCTTTCATTTTTTTATTACATTTTAACAAGTAAAAGAATCTCTTTAGTCCGAGATAAATTTGGAAAATTTACATAGAAAAGAAATAAAACATTTCTTAAGTGACCAAAAAAAAGGAAATTAGAAAAAAAAATAAAATTTGCTAATGATTTTTACTAAAACCTAAATATGTTTGATTTACTTATTGTAGGTTGATGCCTTGCGGTTACGATTGGAAGAAAAAGAAACCTTTCTCAATAAAAAAACAAAACAACTTCAAGACCTCACAGAAGAGAAAGGAACCCTGGCTGGAGAGATTAGAGATATGAAAGACATGTTGGAAGTAAAAGAAAGAAAAATTAATGTCCTTCAAAAAAAGGTAAGATCACTGATGAAAAGATATGTTGTAAAACTTCCGAGGCACAATTAAAGGAAATACATATATTTCTTATAACGTATTACTTTTAATATATTAAAAACCAACAAGGAGTAAGTCTGTAATTGTGAAGTAGTTCTCTAATATGAAATATGTGTTACTGTTTTCCATGGGATCATTTCTTTAGTATTATATCTTAATTAAATTATATCACAAAAATATTAGGTACAGAAGTTTCCACAAAATGACTTGAGTTAAATGAAAGTCCTAAAATTTCTGGCAAAACTTCTTATTCCTCAGCATGTTATCCTTACTAACACTGATTACTACTCTTTCCAAATAATGTAAATAAAATGTGTGGGACTGCTAAAAGATCAGGACACTGCCTTTTTTTTTTTTTTCTTTAGACTTCTTTTGCGGGGGGAGGAGGGAAGTGGGGAAGGAACCTAAATTAAGTCAATTATCTTATTTTCCTGTGAGCTAAAGACATTAAGAAGGGAGGGTCTCTCTGAACAGCCTTATTAGTCTTATTTCTAATTTTCCACAAATTTAGCTAATTGCATTTAGTCTCTTCGGGATGTTGTATTTAATCATTACAGTTTCCACTTGGGGGGGTGGAGAGGGAATTTCCTGGAAAGGCAGCTCTGCAAGGGTTCTGCATACAGCAGTAGAGTGTTTATTTACCATATCCTTTTTCTCACACTCACAAAAATATTTATGCTAGCAGGTAAGTTCTGTGTGTATATATGTGCGTGTATATACACTCTTTATCATATATAGAGGCACTTGTGAGCATGAAGATAAATGGAGAAAAAGTTTCTGGCATCAAATAACCTTTTACTGTTACTTCTCCCCCCCATTTAGACCCGCTCAAAGAATATCTACTCCTTACTCTCTATTATTATGTAGGTAGTTCATGTTACTGTGGTTTTCCTCCAGGATTCATATAGGGTTCACGTGGTCTAGCTGTGCTTCTGTCTGCAATTGGTTAAATACAGTCTTTAAAAAGCCAAGTCCTTATTTTCCAGAAACTGAGAAGACTGCTTTTTCAGGCCCAGGAAATACGGCCTATCAAAACTGGAACATAGATACTCATCCGCTTTAGCTTTATTTCTGAATATTTGCCTTGCTAGCAATGCTGATGATGTAAAGATAGCAAACTTCAAGCCTTTTATTCTGTGCTGCATGCTAATTAGATTTGAACATCACTTGAGGATTTCGCAGAGAAGTATGCATCTTTTCTTACAATTTGTATTCTAAAAAACCCCAAATAAACCAACAATTTACAGTTGGTCTTGTATTTAGATCTTGAGGAAATGGATCAGTAGGAATGTGGATTCAGTGATCAAAATTGTGTAATTAATATAACTCTTCACAGAGCTGTCAGCAGTATCTGTCATGGCTATGTGCTCAGAAATATGCAACCTAGAGTGTTTGTCTGGTTTTAATACATCATGTCTATTTTATTAGGGCTTGGAGATGGTCTTGCCTCTTTTGCACCTGCTTCTTATTGAAAATAATCACTCTCAAAATGCATTATCTCTCTTCACTAAATCATAGAATAAACACACGTTATAGCCTTGTAAGCTCTAGTATACAATGTGATAAATTCATCCTGCTAACTACTAGGTGCAAAATCAGAGTTAGTACTAAACTGATTCTTTAAAACTGGCAGTAGCACCTGAATTTTTTGAGGTATTTATTCTGGTAAATATGTTTCATCAGGGGACTTCTGAAGTTCAGTTTTTCTGCTATGGGCTAAATACCGGGTTTACTTAGAGAAGAATAAATTATGATGATTATTTAAAAAAAAAAAAAAAAAAAAAAGAGAAAAACAGTTCACTTATATCACGTAGAAGTTATGTGTAGATTTGCTTCTCTGAAACATTTTTAATAAACACATTATCTGAATATGTAGATGTTAGCATGCCCCAAAATGCTAATATCAGATCATCATTTTGTTTATAGGAAAACAATATTGTATTTGGAAAATACATTTTTAAAATGACCCTTAGATCATATTTTCAGCTTTGATAATTATTTTATTTTTTCCTCACTTCCAATGTGTTTGGAGGTGATAACATTCACTCACAGATACTTGGACTAGAGAAAAATTTGGTTGAAATATTGTCTTGCTCTACTCATCCCTTTTATTTAAATAAATCTAGAGTATGATACGATAAAGGATGCTTTCGCTGTTTACTTTTCATGTGTCTGGTATACAGTTCTGAAGTAGAAAATTCTGTATGTCACCAATGGAAATCCAGGCATTAAAATTCATCTGGTAAAGAAATAATAATCTATCTTCCTAGTTAACCCAAGTGTTCAACTTCATTTGGCAGTGCTTATTAGATTATGACTTCTCACGGTTAGCCTCCTTGAGCATCCTAGCATCCTTGGCAGCAGATGCAATCTCATCTCTGGACCATGATAGTTGCATGTAGAAGGAAAGGTGTTCAGTGTCCATCTACTATTTTTCAAGAAGCTTTCCTGGCGTTAGTGCCTTTCTGTTCTATCTGCACTACATGAAGTTAGATGTCCCAGAGTATTCATACCTTATAGTCTTTATGTTCTCTCAAAGGCAAAGGGGGCTTCTTTTTGACCATAGGCGTTCAGTCATGTGTTATTTCAGAAATGTGGTGGACTATGTATAGTAGTAATTCCTAATGCTGTACCATTCTTATTGTAATATTTTTGAACAGTTGCTTTTCAGGGGTTTTCAGATAGTCTAGTAGTGGATGCTGTGCATTAAGAAAAAGATTGTCTAATTTACCTCTTTCCTTTCCAGTTTTGACAACACACCTGTCCAATAGCAACACTATATAAGAATAAATTTTGATAGAAAAGTATTTAATATATATCGATTGCAGTAATTTTATCCTTTGCTTGAATCTAATTGTGCTTTTATCCTTTACTCCTTACTGGATTGCTTCTGCCTCTTGCACCTTTTTGGCCACTTATTCCACTATTGTTTTCACTTTGGGTGATGGCAGCCAGACATTTGTGTGTTGACCACCTAGAAATTAATTTGCTCTCATCGTGCGCGTGTATGTGGAGAATTCAGCGGGTAGAAAGTAATATGGACTGTTTCATATGACATTTAGGAGGTGAAACAATTACTGGGCCTTCTAGTGGATTATCCTGCTTTTACATACCATCTTTCAGGACATTGCCCTGGTTGCCATCTTGATCTCTGACAACCCTTCTGAGAGTGAAGGAATTGCTTCTAGTTCTTCTTCCTAAGTTCTCTCTAGACATTAGATTCTTCTGACTGTAATATTATAATGCTTGTCTCCATTTTCTTTTCTCTGTTCAGGGCCAGGTTTTATATCTGTGCATTTTTATTTACTTTTGATGTGAGCACTTGTGAATAAAGAGTCATTTGTTGATGCAAGATAGATGGCTACATCTCTCTCCATTCAGCCTGAAGTGCTTCACTCAGCCTAGAATAATATTTGTTTTAATGTTTGTATTCAAGTAACTGAAGAAGGAAGAATTTGTATATAGCGCTTAAAAATATTTCTGTCAGTAATAACCTGAAACTGAGTAGGAAGGAATATGTAACTTGGAAAGATGCAATTTCTAATTTGACATTCTTTCTCTTCTGTACGTTAATTTATTACTTTACTTGTATACGTTATCTGCCATGTTGAAAAATACAAAGGAGACCAAACCAAAACCAGAAAAGCTCCCTTTCAAAGTTGGAGCTGTTTCTTCTCCATTATGGATAGCTGTTATACTTGGAGGACAACGCAGGTTCTGTTGAGGGCTCCCTACCAAAGGTGTGGAAGAAACAAAAACATTGGCAACAAAACAGCTGTCGCAAGTCCCCCAGGATGGCAGAGGAACACACACAAGGCAGCAATTTGTACAAAAAAGTAATGGACTAGATAATGAACTAATGATGCATTGTCCTTCCATGCAGGGGCTTTGGTGTGATTTTTGACCAAATTGAGAAACCACTGCACTATTCAGTATAATTTGCAGGCTTAAGGGAGGCCCAGCACTGGAAAAGCATACATTTAGAGGATTTGGATCAAGGTAGATTGGCATGGAGTAATAATAAACTTATGTCAATGTCAGAGGTGCAATATTACTTAATATTTCTTTCTTTTAGAATCTTTGGCACCACTGTTCCATTTTAGTGCCAGTAAAGTTGGGTATGCTGTTTTAATAGCCTTGTTTAACCTGGCAAACCTAGTCTTACACCTCATATCTGTCAGTTTAGCATGCAGAGGGGCAGACCTCAGAAATCTTTATGTATTTCTTACCAGAGCATGCAAGTTCTATGAATACGGCTGAGTTGTAGGCTGGAGGGCCAAAGTGCTGAGCTGGATGATGATTCTTTTGTGTCCCTTTTTGCTCCCAAATTTTCTCTTTCGTACAGTGGCTATATGTGGTGTGTTTTGTCTTCTAGGAATCTGTAGATATTTTAAAAAACAATTATATAGTCTGCAGTATGAGTCTTGGTGTTGAAAACAGTAGCTGTTGAGACAAGAATAGCATGGAGGATGTAGACCTGGATCATATTAGGACAACAGCTTGTGGAAATTCTTTTGTGGAGACCATTATAAAAGAACACCATGTGAAGGGGGCCAACATAATATTCTACTTTGACTTGCAACATAACTTTTCATGTAAAATGTTACAGTTTCCATCTTTAATAGTTTAAGCTTTCTGATTGATGAAGTGCTACATGACCAAGGGCCCTAACCTACCAGCTAATTAGCATTTGTAGGAAATGTCATAAAGTCTTAGCTCTCATGTAATAATTGGAATCTGTACTTGCAGTGGCTGGACTGTGCACACTAGGTGATATTGTCCAGTTCGTGTTAAATTAAAATGTGTTGTACAACTAATTGTGTGCATTACTGTTAGCTGTCTTCTAAAAAAAGAGGAAATTTACATACGGTCAGATTAGGAGTATACTAGCATAAACTAATGAGTCCTACTCTTGTGCTTAGAAATTTGCATCAGTATTACTGCTTGATGCAGGAATTCTG